CAGCATACAGACAAATTAGCGCTTATCATAAATTAATTAACGCCAGTGAAAGTCACAATAATGATGGCACCCAGGCCGCTAAGCCTTCAAGTTGTGGCAGCCTCTTGCAAGCGGTGGACGCATCGGTTTCTATGGAATTAAATCCAAATTGAACTTAAAGTACAGCCTTTAATATATATGTAACATATATTATGCATTATTTATCAAAATACAGCCTTTAATATATATGTACATTATTATATATTATACATTATTTATCAAAATATCTGCATTTTGTTTTTATACGTGCATGCTACAAATATTTTTGGACTTCCTGAAGTTGTGAATATTGGAATTAAGAGCCTTAAGTGCTATTGGACCGTCCGATCATTAGTAAAGTGAAAACTCCCTTAATGGACACCACTATCATCCGAGCACTCTCTTCGGCGGGCACTGTTTCTAAAAACATTCGATCGGTGTATAAAGTATTTAAGTATCCCCTATCCCCCCGGCCACGAGAGTATTCACTGTATATCGATCTGCTACCTTTAATAGTTGTATCGCTATGACTTTCGTCTGATATACAAAATAGTGATCCAGAAAAAAATAAGAGATACTCTTATTTCCAGGCCCGGGGAGTAGATTATTCTCTGCCTCTCCCTTACTGCTTGAATCTCGCTTCAGGATCCCTCTCCATTGTCGAAACCAATACTTATGTGCGATAATTCGTGTTTAAATTGTGGCGGCCATTTGGTAAATAAGCTGAAATTTCATGCATGCTTAGTCTGTATTATTAAATAGTTTTGTTGGTAGCAAGTCCCAGCTCTAAGCTTGAGTTTTATTCATGAATGGCGACAAATTTCTATAAATTGCGGCTAAGAGTGTTCAATTAGCTTCTCTGATTTTTTCATTCAATATACAATATACACGAAGAATATCCTACATACATTCGAATGTGAATGTATTCTTTTCAGCTCATAATTTTAATATATTAAGCTTTAATGAGCAATGTGCGGCAAAATCAACGAAGGAACTGAGTTCACTGCTTCACTCCCCAAAAGTTTCCATATTTTCGTTCAACATTTCCAAGTTCTTAGCTAGTACCGACTGTAGCTGAGACGCCGCAACACTCCTAGGAACTCGTTGGGCACAAAGAATATTAAAAATCGACATAAATACTCGCTTATACTATTTGCATACACATCAGCCCATATTACCAAACTTTGCTTCATTTAAACTGGAAATCTGAGGTTGAGGCCGAGCTTTCACGTCATTAGCAGATCCTTAGAACAAAGCCAAGTTAAGCAAGAGATTAACTCTCCGTGAACTACGAGTACAACTACGAGTATGTATGTAGGTGCATCCCTGCCCATCAACCATCTACCTATCTAGCTACTTATGTACCCCCTTTCTCTCTCTCTCCCTCTCACTGTCCGTTTCGGAAAGTTGACAATCGGCAGGCACTTGCTGTTGGCTGTTGACTCTAAGCCATGTCAATATTTTGCATTTGTCTGTTAACGCCAGGTTTATTTTTGGAAATGCATCGTTGCCAATTTTCACTGGCATTCCCAGCCTATGTCTCACGATACCGCTTTCCCTTGCCATACAAAATTGTATTCCTTGCTGCATAAATTGGCCAATTATCGGCATTTGAAATATGTTCTACCTGCAACGTTTAAGACTTGCCCGCCAAACTGGTACCGACTACCTGACGCATTCATTGCAGTACCCGCACACACACACACACACAGGCACACACAAACACACACTTTTGACCTTTTCCAAACAATGCACATAGAGCTCTGTTGTTGTTGCTGTTGTTGCAAGGTAAAAGAATATGCCGCTATAGTTCTAACACCTGCCTAGCCTACCCGAAGAACTGTCGTTTTCCTATCGCTTTGAATGCACGCACAATTTTCTATAAAAGATACACACCTTTATTTTACACTCTATCGCATACAATTGTGCCTGCGAGTGAGTGCCTATATCTGTATCTGGCGACGACGACGACGAAAAAAACGACTTTTCTGGGCATTAATGAACGTCAACGTTGGCGCGCAGCTTCACACCGCACCGTCGATATTCTTTACCTGAATCTAATGTGTCGGTTGCTTGCCTGCCTCGTCGAGTGGCCAGCACTCTGGTGCCCCAAAAGTTATTGATTATTTAACAAATGTTGGGAAATTAGGCAGCGATTTATAAAAGCCTCGCTGCTACGTTTTGATAAATTAATACAATAGAGTGCAGTCGCGAAGCAACGTGCGGCCATTCAATTGATATCGAAATTCATTAGTGAGCTCGAAAGCGGTCAACAAGGCGTCATCAACGATGCCAAACTATAACACAGTTGCCGTTGTCTGTAACTCTTTTTTGTATTGGCCCGTGAGGCTCCGAGTTGTTAGAACATTGTCAGTTGTCTGGACAGCATTGTTAATGCTGTTGCTCCCTCCAAATAGATGGCCAGGCGAACAGCAGGAGAGCAAAGCTAGCCGCCAGAGTCGAGTGTAAGCCGAAATAACGAGTGCATTTCTAAGTGGGGGAGTTGAGAGCTGCGATTATCGCTCTTGGAATACAACATTGAATGCTATAGTATTCTACTTAACTTTTTAAATTGCCTTTTTATGTGTAGCTAAAAAAAAATGCTTTAAAATGTGGAAAACATGCAAACATACAAGTATATGGAGGGGCGATTTCGTTTGGGGATTTATACATGAATTATAAAAAACTTATCTTCGTGTTTCCCCTATCTTAGTTCTCTCTCACACATGCTCTATCTCTACATAAATGCCATAGAAAAAAATTAATTTCGAACTCCAGACATTATTTTAATTTGTTTTCCATTTTATGAATTGTCAATGCGGAAACATTTCGTCGGACGTTCTTTTGCATCGCTGTTAGTCGAATAATTCCTCTTTTTACCTTAACCGTTGCTGTGTGCCCTCGAAATCAATTCGTATCATTTGCATAGCCATGAGTACATCAACCAATTTAACGAATACTATTTATTTATATGTCCATAATTATTAATAATAATACTAATACTCACTTTAATTCATTAATATAAAATTATGTATTAGGAGCTGCAAAAATAAAAGTACAATTATTATTAAATATTAAGCAAAAACATACATGTAAATAAAATAAAAACCTAAACCAAAGCACAACTATAATAATATATAAGAAAACAATTAATTAATTTTTGAAATTGTAATAATTTTTAAAATATTTTATTCTGTTATCACTAACCGCCATCAAAGATTATAATTTGTCTTCATTTAACAAACACAAAATGCTGATATTTTACCAAAAAATAGGAGAAAATATTTCGCCATTATTATTAAAATTTCTTTCCAGAGATAAAAAAAACCCGCGCCAGTCCAAAATAGAATATATTTTGAATTGATTTATTACTTCACATTAATACAGATTATTGCACTTCAATCAACTACTTTCCGAACTATTGAGACAATTCGTAGTACGTTTTTGTTTAGAAAATGCTTGTCTCTTTGATTGAGTACTAGAACAAAAATGCATATTTAGAATTTTTTTTAACATAAACAATATACAATTATTTTGAGTACTTTGTTTCATTTTTTGTTTGCTCTCAGATAACGGCGCCTCAGTGTTGACCTTGTGGGGTTAAATAAACATTGCCATTTCATTAGATTGTTGATATCAGTGCTTGGGAGCAAAAAGTTGTTCAACAGTAAAATTGCTCTTCGCTAGCTACTACAACGATTGAGCATTTGTTTACGTATTATATTTTAAACAAAAGTAATACGCTTATTTAATAAATTGTGTTAAGTACTTTGTTCCGTTTACGCTTGACTTGAGATTATGGGGCATTAACGTTGACCCTTTGGGGTTAAATAAACATTGCCATTTGAGTAGATTGCTGATAGCAGTGCTTGGCAGCACGCAAAATGTTGCTCAACATTCGAGTTGTTGCTTCGCTGGCTACTGCATCGGTTGAGCATTTGTTTAAACAAAAGTTATTAGCTTATTTAATAAATGGCGTTAACTACTTTGTTTCGTTTTCGCTTGACTTGAGATTATGGGGCATTAACGTTGACCCTTTGGGGTTAAATAAACATTGCCATTTTACTAGATTGCTGATAGGTGCTTGGCAGCACGCAAAATGTTGCTCAACATTCGTATTTTTTCTTCGCTGGCTGCGGGAACAAGTGGGAATGAAATCGAAAGAAGGGCAGTTTTCCAAATGTAAACAAAACAAGCAGATACAATCCACCACATGCCGCATTTGGTGTGCGCAACAAGCGTCCGTCTTGCAACACGAGCGACACAACCTGGAATTGGAATGAACGAACTTTGGCCGAAACGAACGAAACCAATGCACACGAGCATGGAGAACGAGACACAGATAGCTCGTATCCGTATCTGGCATAGCCCGCTGACTGCCGCAACATTCGCGGCCGCCTCAGTTGTATTTCGTTTGCCGAACGGTTCGCATGTTGTTGCCAGTTCGTGTTGAGGGTCGCGCGCGTTCCCGTAGGTTTCTCGTACGTGCGTGAAACGACATCGCAAAGAAGTTCGGCGGCATTATCTGTACGTACATATACCTTGCGTCCCGGCACTCACTGACCAGCCAACCAACCGAATGGATTAAACAGATTATTTGTGAAAAATATATAGTTTTTCGAAAAAATCAAGAAAGAATTATACGTGTATTGTGTGTGCGTGCGAGTGTGTGTTTTGCAAAAAATGAGGCTGCGGCTGCTCGTGTGTTTTGCACGGCATTTGTTATTTTAAAGCTACATACGAATAGAATAGAAAATACGAGTATAGAGCGAAGGAGGAGGAAGAGTGGCATACAATTTTTGGGGCTGGCGCCCAATTAAAAAGAAACGCAACAAAGAAGAAATAAATAGAAAACTTGACAGCCGCAACATCAAAATGCATTTTACTAAAATGCGTGCAACACATTCAGTTAAATACAAAAATAACAACAACAACAACAACAGCACTAGCAGCGATCCCAGCGAGATCAGAAGCAATAACAATCAAAATGTCGCCCCGTCGCCAGCGCTAAAAATACGCAGTATCTCAAAGATGCGTCAGCCAACATCGTCGTCAGCTGCATTGATGCCGATGCTGCTGATATTTCTAGTTGCCGACACTGGATTAAATGGATTAACACAAGTTGCTGCGCTCAAGGGTAAGTGCCGAGGCCTAACAGTAAATGCATTTGAAGGGCAAACTCTAAATATGACAAACTATTTCCGTTTTCACGATCCACGATCGTCGATCGTCGCTCGTCATCGCTCTAATAGCCTACAAATCCTTTTCTTTCCCTCTCTCTCTTTTTCTTTTTCTTTTAATTACTCCCCCGATGTATAGTATGTGTGTGTGGCAGTTTTTATACTCTGTTTTTGAAGTAAAAAGGGGACTTGTATTTATTTTGAGAAATATAATGCCCGGAATGGCTAACATATTGAAGAATTTTAAGAATTGAGCGGAACTTGCTGTAACCAGCATTTCAAGCGCACTGCTCTATTGCTTGAGCAGTAAAAATAGAGTATTTCAGAAACAAAACTAGATGTAAGACTTCTTTAGCTCTGCGGTATAACAAATTTAATTTAAATAAATGTACATGTCTATTTCTTCTTCTTTATTTTTCTTTATTATTACCTGTTTTTAATATCAAATCAATATCTTTCTTTAAACAATTCTGAACCTCAGAAACAAAACTATTTAAGGCTTCTTTAGCTCTTTGATATAACAAAATTTATTTTAAAGAATTGCTACAAAAGCCTATCTCTTCTTCTTTCTTTATATTTATTGTTATCTCTTTTTAATATAAAATCAATATCTTTCTTTTAAAAAGTATACAAACTCAGAAACAAAACTATATTAGCTCTGTGGTATAAGTTTCTCTTCAATAATTTCTACAAAACGAACATATCTGTCTGGGATAGACCTATTTATTCTTCTTCCTCTTTCTTTGTCTTTACTATTATCTATTTTTATATAATATCAAGTCAAATACTCTTTGTTCTGAGGAATGAGTTTGACATTCTTACGAATTACGAAATACGTCCATGAATTTCATTCATACGTAATCAAGAGATAGTGTAGGGTATGCTAAGTACGAGTGTGATCTCTTTTGTGTATTATTTATTGGTGTCATTTGTTGTCTTGCCGCTGCAAGTTATAGCGAGCAAGGGAGCGGGAAGGGGGATCTTCCATTTTCAGCTTCTCGCCTATTTCCATTTTTGTTTGGGGCACATTGCTGTCTATTTTTGGGCCTGTTGCACCAACGGTCTACCACCAGCACCAGCAGCACCACCCAAAAAATACAAATTAAGTAGAATGCGGTTTATTTATGCGCCGTGTTCGCTAATGGATTCGAATGGCGGTTTTATTCATGTATAGCATAAATGGGCTTTTCTTATTTTGGAGCTGCTGTTGGAATTGAAGGCAACACTGACTTAGTCGTAGCCTTGGCTTTTAACCTGAGGTACTTGGCTTATTTTCTTAAGCTTGAAAGCAATTAAAATACTGCACGCATATTAAAAGTAAACAAATCGGAGAGTTGTATACTTTTCGTTTTAAAAACTAACAGCCAATTTGTAATCGAATATGAACAATAAAACTGGTGCTGCAATATGAAGCGTGTGGCTTTGCGGTTCCTATGTGATTTCAAGACATTTATCATGAGTTTGTTTTACTAAGAAAAAAAAAAAAAACGAGTGCACCCAAGCAATTAAACATGATATGGAGAGCTTGGGAACCCCTTCCCAACCGCAGCTATCAACTGTGGTTAAGGGAAAATGCAGCTTGAACTGAGCTGGCAAGCTTGTAAAAACATTGTTGGATATGAAAATTGGGAAAGTTTCGATAACACCAAACTAATTTAACTTATTTCCTTTATGCTGTAAAAAATTGTTCGAATACTGAATGAACATAAATGCAATCCTCAGCATAATTTATGGGGACATAACCACTCTTTTTTGGTTTCCTAAAAATCCCATGCCGCATGGCTTGAAACTACATGCCACATACTAGTATAGACGTACAAGTATATATGATTGCCCTGCTAATCGGCCGGCATCGTGTGATTGGTCCAAATAATATGTTGCTCTTGCTTGCAATGGCTGTTGTCGATAGCTGGCGGCTGATTTCGAGCGCTGCACACTTGACTGCAATCTGCATTTACATGCCACTGCAGTTGCCCTGCAAACCCATAAGCAATTTTCTTGCAGCTCATTTTACTAACCCACAGAGCAACAACAACAACAACAACAACAACGACAGCAGCAGCATCCACAATGGCCAACAAGCGCACTTGCCTATTTATTGTAAGTAGAAAGCTGCCAACGAGCTCAAATCGCAGTCTGTGCCCAAAGTGACTTTCATAGACCGCTACTTAGCCCAATTTCGCATAATGCACAAGCACACATACACGCACACACACATACAGAATCAGAAACTACATACATGTGTAGTACGAGGAGGCAGCTGAGTCCTCTCAGGTTTCCCAGAATCTTTTTGTTTTGTTCGCCAGCGTTCGTCATCGCCGTCTGCTCAAATTACAGGCCAACGAGCGCAGCCCGCCGGGCAGCACAAAATGAGCCGCAGCAATTGTAACACTTTTTTTCGCCAGATAAAACCATAAAAAAAACTTAAACTAGACAATATAAAATTTTTCATTAAATTCCCGTGGGGCAAAATGCACGAGTGCAGCCAGCGCGCAACATTGTGGGCATTTCAATATGGCCATAAAGCGTACACACTGCACAAAAAACCTGATCACTTTTTTGAGCAAGCTATCCGAAAATGTATTAGCACTTACTTGTATGTAGATATGTGCTTTTACACCAAAATCCACATCCAAGTCCCAGCCACTGAAGTTAGACAGCTACTACTATCGAAAATTCCGCCCGCCGGTGGGGAAAAATTGTGCTTCTGAAAATAAGTAACGTGGAATATTTCAGCTCCAACTAGATAAACTGTGAGCTAACTTATTTCATTGGCTTTGTATAACATTTTTATTTTAACATTTAATTATAATAAGGAAACAAAATTAGTTTTCTCGAAAATATTAACTTTTTAAATAATGTATTTATTTTATAAAGAAAGTTTTATATTTTAACTATCAATAAAAATTCAAATAGTTCAAAAATACTTTTGAAATTTAAATGCTGTTTATTTTTAGTTGCTTATATTTAACAAACTGCATATGTTCCTAAGTATTTGTCAATAAGTTAAATCGAAAACCATCTAACACCAAAGTGTTAAATAACTTATTTCATTAGCTTTGTAATAACAACTTTCTTATAATTTTCAATTGTAATTGTTTTTCTGAGTGATTAACTCTATAAGTAATATATTTAATTTATAAAGTTATATATTTTTTGGATTATAAAAAAGTATTTTTTATTCAAAAATACTTTTCGACTTAAGCTATTTATTTTATTTGCTTTTATTTAAGAAACTATACATCTGTTTCTACTTGTGAACAGATTCAAACAAAATCCATCTAACTTTACTTGTATTATTCAGTTCAGTCGGCATTTGTACTTAACTGTTAACTAACTTATTTCATTAGTTTTGTAATAACATTTTTTATTTAATTTCCAATTTTAATTGGGAAACAGCATTTGTTTTTCGGAGTGATTAACTATATAAGTACTATATAAACTTCTCTATTTTTTGGATTATATAAAAAAGTATATTTTATTCAAAAATACTTTTCAACCCAATTATTGCTAATTTTTGGTTGCTTTTATTTTGAGAAACTATACACCAGTTCAGTCAGCACTTTGTTTTTTTTTCTGTGTAGAAAATCTTGTGAAATGCAACGACGCTAAGTTGGCAGCAACAGTAACGGCAGCAGTGGAAAAACGCTCCCCAGAGTAACATTACAATCATGCTTTTTCACTGTCACAGCCAACTGCTGAGTGTGTGTGTTTGTGTGTGTTTGTGTGCGTGTGCAACCCTCGGCAGCAGCAACAACAACAACAGCAACATTAGTAACAAGAATAAGAAGAATAGGAAGAGGAGCAACATCAGCAACATGTTGAGCGGGTTGCTGCTGTTACTGTTGCTTCTTGCCTTTGATTTGGCAGTGCGGGCGTTTAGCAGCAGATAATTTTTATGACCCCAGACGCTTTGATTTCATGTGAAGTTGAGGCGCAAGCAGCTAGCCATTGACCCACCACCAGACAGCGGCAACAGCAATAGCTGGCCAGCAGCCGCCCCCTTTTGCTGCCTTGCAACTGCCACTGCCGTGTGCCGCTTAGATAATTTCATACAATTTATTATCAGCGAGTCGCGTGCAACACTTGCCACACGTCATAGCCATAGAGCTATAGCGCTCATCAGCTCTACTCGTTCCTAATGTTGCTGTTGTTAATGTTGCTGTTGTTGTTGTTGTAGCTGGCCTTTCGTGCGCCTTCGCGTTTCGTGCGTGTTAAATGTTTTCACGTGGCACATGAAATCAAGAAATCCAAGCGTTACAATTTAAACGTATTTCCCCATTGCCGTCGCTCTACCAATTGCGTGTGTCTTCCTATCAGTGCCCGAGTGTGTGTTGTTTTTTGTTGCTTTTGCATTAAAAAGCATTTAATAAGCATTAGATTACACTTTTGTGTCTGGCTATGAATCTAAGTGTTGCTCTTGCAGTGGTTGTTGTTGTTTTTTTAAGCTTGTTAAGGGTAGTTAACTGGACAGTCTTATCTGTGGCAACGGCTGCAGTCGAAAGTTTGAGTAAGCTGAGCCAATTTTACGCTCGTTTTCCAAAGTCGATTCAAACAATCAGATTAAGCTGGTTGCGCATGGGCTTATGATTGAAGATACATACAAGTATACTCGTATTTAGAGAGGGTTAAATATATTTGATGAGTTTATTTAAACGCCGCTGAGCTGGCTAAATACTTTATAATATTCATTCAAAGTAACGAACGTAAAGTGCTTAAAAAAATCACAAATAAATTTGACAAGCAATTTAGTTCTTTCTTAGATCGTACGGATTATATCCTGCTTTACATCCGGCGACAAGCGTAGTCTTACAAATGAAATACCTGCAACTTTAATTTTAATGTTTTCTAATATCACTTTCCAAGAAATTCAAACATTTAAACGCGATTTTGGCTACGAAAAAAATCGCCTTTTTATTTTTTGTAATTTGTGGCACTTACACAAAAAAAAAAAATG